TCACTTTTACTATTTTTTAGAATAGCATGTTTTAAAAAAAAAAAATTTAATAATAAAACAACATCTTTTTGAATACAAAAAAGTACATATAATAATAGTTTCAAGTTGTAATAAAGAAATGTGCCTAATTAATATTACCGTTAACGGTTTTTTTTAATCTTCACAAAATACCTTAAACGTCTACCGAACATGATTTTGGTTTTACGTGTATAGAACTTAACCATTCCGTGGCGTTAAAGTAACGTTCAGAAGCTTCGGTCATTGCCAATTCTTCTGATAAACACCACGACGAGAAATAACACACTCCGTCAACAAAAAGCTGCAAAATCAAAATTCAATGAATTCGTGGTCAATTATTATTCACATATCTTATAAAAGTATTGATACATAAATAAACGTACAGATGCTCTGTAATGTGTCGATTCATTTTTATCATTGCTGTCAGTATGCACCTTTTTTTCCAAATGCCACATTCGCTTGTGATTGGAATTCGAAGCACAGGTTTGGTCAGTCCTTACGCTGACGAAGGGTAGTTTACCTAAAACCAGATTATAATACTTCTTAATTAGTTCACCGTCATAAATGCAATATTCCACGGTATATGTTTGAAACATTATGATTAAATTCGCTTGACTTTTGGTCGGCTAAAGAACATCACAATCGTGTTTCATTCAAAAAAAATCATCACCGCTGTTATATGCTTTCGAAAGAAAGTGTGTATGCACTTTGTTAATAATTGAACAGTTCTTACCCATCTTATCTGCTGTTGATTTTTCACCATTATCCGCCAACGTTGCCGGTTCACTCAACTCTAGGTCAGCATTTGCATAATTTTTTCTTTGTTTTATATGTGCACCATTAGCTCGGCCCATTTTATCACCAATAACCTTAACGATCAAATCACAACGGCCGTGTTTTAAAAAGGATGAAATATTTGTTGTGATTTTTAGGACTTTACAATAAAACATAATTTATGGATTTAAACGCCATTATAATTCACCGCACACCTCTGTGTGTTGGATTTGTTAACGAGAAATTCAATTTTTGTAAACGTTTTAAATTATTAAATAGATAACATATTTTTTTACTTTTGTGGAATGGCATGCCAATGGTTCACACACAAGTCCTTTGTCGGTTACACGTTCCTTGGTTTGCAACAAGCTTCTGTGTTTAGAATTTGTACTTATAACAATAGGAATCACTGGTTTTGCGCCTAGGCGGTTTGTAAAAAACCTTTCTCCACAGCGTAGTAACGATAAACTTTTATCACAAACCTAATGGTGAAATATAAGAAACAAAGTAAAAATCTAAAATTTGTTTATCCAATACCGTATTTTTTGACTTTACAGGAACTTGCGGCAATTTTTTAACTGTAGGACAATGTCCTACAGAATAAGGCACCATCGTTTTTCTTAAACTGGGTATTGACACAGCGTTTGGAAGTATCTATAATAAATGTTGTACATTATAGTATTTTGTCGAAATTAATGATAGTAAACCAGGGTTCCGTTAACCGTTTTTATTTGTTTTTTTTTTAGTGATAAAAATAATGTACTGAAAATGTTGACTGGTTGATAACCAGTTTTAGATCACTATTTTTGCTAACCTAACCTAACTTAGCAAAATTCGCTTTAACATTCACCAAACATATACTAATATTATGTTATGTTCTGGGAACTTTATTTTGGTAAACGAAATAATTGAGTTTCTAACGTTATATTTCGTTACGTTACGGAACCCTGTAGTACACAAACATCTACAAAGCTTATTGTGTGATTAATTGATGGTTTTATAATATAATACAATATGTTAATCTGTAGGTTAATATCGTATGTATTATGCCTAACATCAAAATATTTACCGTGGCATCACTGGACGATTGAGGGGGACTACTAGCAGTATGTGTGTACATTTTCCACGACGAACCAAACATCTTTTCTTGGTACGATCTTGGAAATCCGCCAACGGGTTTTTGATGACTTTGGTCTCTAGATCTAAGATGCGGCTGCAGGCTTAACATATTGGCTAGCTGCCGTGTGGATTTAAAATTACATAAGAAAAAAAAGGTTCACATAAATTGTTGTGTACGTGTGAATAGTGACGGCTGGTCAAAATTCATACTGATATTATAAGTCTAAGCTTACTTTATTACTCAACGGTAGGGTGGTGTTTCTGGCTTGGTTTTGATAATTATTAAAGTTGCTTAAATACATAACGTGTAAAAAAATATAAATCGTATATGAGAGAGTACAACGCAATGTTGCAAAAACGATTACTATATAAACTATTGATTATAACAAACAAAATATATCATACCTACTATTTACCAAACAAGCCAGAAATTATGTTTAATTTAATCTAATTTCATTGATTGCCGTTAAAGTAAATTCTGTGTCCTGTAGTAGAGGGCTTATAACGTACACTAAGTACTTAATCTTAATTATGACTTAGATAATAGGCTTCAATGTTATCACCTGTTAACTAGCCATCGCCATTAGCGTATAACGACCAATAGAAAGATCAAATATATGATTATCACTAATTTCATGTTTTAACTAATAATATACTAACGAGACAATAACAAACTATGATTTGAGGCAGACCAGTCAATCAATTCATCAAATGGGAGTAACCGCAGGATGTGTGTAAATAGTGTAGGTAAACTATGATTTGTAGGAACTTGTACGTCTAATATAGTTGTCACACGCCATAGGATTCGTCTGAAAGAAATTATGTAACGACGGTGTGATATCGAGTTACGTTTATTGCTTATGAAAATATTAGTTTTGTAGTACTACCGCTAACTTGAATTCGTGCCACGCGCAAACGGCGGCTTGTACGTCGTTCTGCAATGAATTCTACTAAACAGCCAGGCAATGTTTACACGGCGCCAAATCAAATTGTTATTGACCAAGCAATTTTAAATGAATTACAAAATGAAAACGAAAATTTAAAAAAAAGAACGGTATTAGATCTACAAGCGAATATCGCACAATTGCAGAGCCAATTGTTAGACTTCCAAGTGAGTAAAATAAATAATACTAATTTATTTATTTATTTATTTATTTTATTTCAATACGGGCCGCAGCCCAAAGTACAGAATATCAAATTAACTATAAACTAATAACTATGAAAAAAGATAATAAGACAAATATATTACAAATTATAACTTAAAAACTAAAAGACGGACCCCGTTGGCAATACGCATCATCCTATTCAGTGGTTTGTTACGGACATATTTTGTCATACACTGTGGAATAGTGAAAGGATAGGAAGAACGGATCTGGATACAGGGAATTTTAAAGTTGACTTTGAAAGAAGTTCAGGACAGTCGATCGACCCATCGAGTTTGAGCAGGAAAACCTTGTTAATGGTAATACGTCTATCAGCTAAAGACTGTAAACCTAACCTATTTAATACTGCATCATAAACATGAGGTCTATGTTCTATTTTTAATAGATATGCAGCTTATATTGCTTTTATATACCTCTATGAAATATCAGTTATTTTAGTTACCCTAAAATAAGCTTAAAACGCATGTACACTATGTATTTACTGCATTTAATATAAAATCAACATTTTTTTAAAAATGATTTATGAACAATGTAAATTATTCAAACTTTAAAATAACTTTGTACATTGTAAATAATTAGATACATAGCTTTGTATACCTTTTTCTTTTTATACATATCAATACTTAATTTTAAACATACATTTTATATTATTTACATTTTTCTTTTTTTGCAAAATCATATATAATATCATCGAAGTTAATTTTTGATGCAAGTTAGTTTTCAATCGATAAAAGTGCAAGGGAATTGAGTCGTTCTTGGCCAATTGAAGCCCTCTGCCAAGTCTTAATCTGATTTCCTAATTTACTAAATGCTTTTTCTGCTTCAGAGACTGTCATTGGGAGTGTACAAAATATCCTTAAAACAACAGAAGTATTTATAAAGATAGTTTCTAATTTCTCTTTGCATAAATTTCGTTCAATAGTTTTAGAGGACATATTTCGATTTCTGTTTGAAAAATCGATTTATGAATTTTTTTTAAATGTAATAATTCATTCAACATAGTAGGCGATAAATCATTAGAATATACTTCAATAATTTTTTTTACGTTAATTTCAAGTTCTTCACAGGATGACTTCATGTAGCATAAAATAGGGTAAAACAGATTACAACATTTTTGATGTGCTTCAAAGCGGTGTGTCAAGTCAGTTATAATAACACTCATACTATTAAATATAACACCCCTTTTAAAAGAATCCTGTGCTTCAATTGCTTTATTGGGTTAAGTAATTAAGTAAATTATTGTATAACGGTAACTATCAGACTTCTTTGAACGGTACTCGTAATCACGCTCGGTTAAGTCGAGGAATGGTCTTATTTAAATTACAGTGTTCGTGTGTTACACATGCAACCGTGTTTGTAGAATTTATAAATCGATATATATAAATATATATATATATATATTTTATATTTTATTTCTTCATTACATTATCTTACTTATTAATTATTAAAAAAAAAATTGCAGAAAATATTAATAAAGGGATCGTTTCATTTATTGAAAAATAAAATCAAGTTTTATACTATTTTTTATCGGTAGAATAAAAGTTTAAAACAATCTCTTCCTTGGTAAATAGTTAGGTAAAAACGCCACTGGCCAAAGGTAGAAATCTTGGAAATCGTTTTCAACAACCAGTTCATTATGCGAAAAAACAATAATCAACAACTTTTAATTTGAGTTAAAACACTGCATGTAAAGTGAGATGAGATAAAAAGAAATAGGGAATGTGGTCACGTACGGATTCTGTATACATTTTGACGCTCAGACAATTGTTTTATTTTGAAGCATGTGGATTGTATAGGAATGACTTGGTACAGGAATATACGTTAATTTATTTTAACTCTAGCCCTGTGTGTAAGAGATATATTTAATTTATATAACAGTGACAATACAATGTATATAATTGTGCAAATGTGAAATTTTGTGTATATGACTTGACAAGATATTTATTATAACCGGAATAGTTTATACTTATGTATAGTTATTTATTTTAATTTTATTGTTTTAGTCGTGGTGCCGCAAATCTTCTTGAATTTTTTTTACGTTTTCAAGACATTCTTTGGCGAAGGTAACTACGTCCTTTTCTGTGTGGTTAGCATCGTTTTGTATTTTGTTTACTATTTTCAGATATTCTACAAATAGAGGTACGCATATTTTACCTAAATAAAAAAAAACATTTTTTAACAAATCGTTAAATATTACAAATTATACATAAAAAAAAACTATAAATTCACACATTGTGACATGTGACGTAAATTTTGTCGCGCTATGACTGAGGGCTCGTTATACAGAGTGGGCAAAAAGTGTAACGTGAAAAATTGGATGTAATAATGGGTCGCAATGTGATTTTTTACTGACCCGGTATAATACAGGATGATTATTTTAACACGCCACGACACCAGTTTTCTCGGAAATTAATAACCATTTTATAGTTTCTTTTTTTGAAAATGTTTTTTGTGTAATTATGCAATAAAAAAATTACTAAATATTTAGCATTTTTAGTAATTTGACAGTGTTCTACGAGAAAGTGAGTGTCTAACGTTTTATTGCTCTACCCTGTATAGAAAAAAGTTCTCTAACTTTCATAGCAAAATAAAAATTATATTAATATTTGGAACTATCTAATACAACGCAGTTGACTCCAAAAACACCAATCAAGGAATTTAAATATAACATAAATGTAGAAATATCTCATATTATATTAATTTAGAAGGAATATGACGTCAAATAGTTTACATAACATTTAGTAGGTATCTGTCTTAATGGGTATTGTTGAGATATTGCTTTTTTCCAAGATTTTTGAAATATTCTACAATAAAATTATTTTTGTGGTTTTTATCGTAAGTATTTTTTCTCTAAATCTATCACAAAAAAAAATTAATTTTGTTATTTTAAATTATATTGTGCTAGTTAAAAATACAAGATAGCCTTGATAATAATCTAGATTTTATTATATGTAGATTAAGGTTATAAACTGGACAATTTTAAGAAGCTTTTCTGCAATTAGAACTAGAAATAATCATTTTAACGTTTTTTTTAAAACAAGGGCTTTAACTATATTTACCATATATATTATTATAGTGTTACTATAAAAAATCAAGCAACTTAGAAAAAATTTAACTACATCGAAGTAAAATTATATGTTGATTACACAGAAAAAGTTTCCCATAGGGGGGTTATATTAACTTTTCAATCTACCCCTGACCTTTTATTTTTTTATTTGAAAATTAATATTTTTTATTAACAATATTAGTAAATAAACATAATAAAGCTTTTGTTAAGGATTTTTTAGCTAAAATAATTATTTTAAACATTAAAATTAATTCCACTATACCGTTTGAAAACCGACAATTTACTAGATTATGTTTTTTTAGTTTCTATGCCAAGCTGAAAATTGTATACATGTTAGTTTAAATAAGAATTTTTTTTCTTAACGCCCTAAAACAACTGCTTGACAGCTTCGCTTTGAAGCAAAAACAAATATTATTGAATGATAAATTGAATATAATAATATATTCTTACTTTTAAATTCCGATGTAAAATTCTTTTCACTTTTGTAACTGTCTATAGCATTCAAATTTGTCTTATTGTCACCCACAAATCCGAGAAGCCATTTCTCTTCCATGGTTGTTTTACCAGGTTTAATAAGTGCTAGATAGTCATTGTAAACTGCCTCTAATTCCGGCTAAAATTGGTTTTAGTTATATCATTCAACGAATTAAGATAAAGGCATTATTCGATTAAATACTTATTTGAATATATCACGAATAATAAATTAACTTTTATTCCATTATTTCTTTATTTAAATATAAATTAAGATTAAATTAACTTTTTACCTATGAGTTCGAGTATTGCCCAAGACTTAATTAACCATTTAGGTCGTTAATGTCAATTTTTTATTTTTTTGGTTATTATAAAAAAATGTTTTACATGAGAATTCCCAGTATAAAAAATAGGATACATATTTTAACTTTAATATACGAATATTATTAATTTTTTAATCAGCGTTTATTTTTTTATTAAATAGCTCTACAACTCCCTATAAAATTTTGTTAAAATATTTTAAAAAATAAATTCCATCATTCTCCGTTCAATTATGAATAACCTAATAATTTCATATATTAACATTTGATCAATGAACAAAAACATAATTACACAAATTGCAAAAAAAAATCTGGACAATCAACTTTTTAATTTTTCATTGAAATATATTCAAACTATACTATACTATACAAAATATAAATGTAAAACATATTGATTTTTAATAGTGTTTTGTTATTTTCTGTTAAATTATTATCCTTATGGAGTTAAAAGAACAATAATAGATAGGGAAGAGAAAAAGTTGTGGCTTCAGTATAATTTGAATATATTTTCGAGTGAAAATTATGTACCCAAACTTTATTTTAGAGTTTTAGAAGTTTTGTTTAATATTCGGGGGCATAAAACAAATTAACTTATAATGTATTTACTATAGTATTTTTTATAATTTAACGGAGAATATGCTAAGGGTTTTTTATTTAAAAAAATGAAAGTGAGTTTTAGTTTTTGGTTTCTATAAAATTATTATTTAATTTACTTTAACTGTGGTCTTTACGATTATTTTTTCATCTTCTGTTAGAACTCGTTCAGGATTACTGGCAACCAAGGCACACGATACCAACAAAACAGCGAACTTATACATTTTTTTAGTGTTTAACTCGGGAACAAAAAAAATTGAATGAAAATCTCTATCTGCGATTTTCAGTTTTATCAGAATGAAAACAAACAAATGTTCTGAACAAATATGAATTTACAAAATATGATTGTTCATAAAGCAAGCGTACATTTTGACGGTTAATCGTAAACTATGCATACTTTGTGGGTTCAACCCGATTTGAAGCGATGAGAGATATTTTGTTTTCGCCTTAGACACATGTGTTGTTTTTAATACTCCGTTTTTCTACACTGTTTTTTCGACTGAAAAATGTGTCACTTAAAGCGTCGTCGAGTGTAATTTGAAATATCGATATACACCAAAAGTCAAGTACATTTTTCTTTAGGCTTAGGTTTTTTAATAACTAATAATTCTGTTCTCTCTCTCTCTCTCTCTCTCTCACGTTTAATCTTCCGTTATTTACTTTCATCTATCTTATACCTTACCTAACGGCCACTCTTCCATTCACACTGACCTCGTTAAAATTGTTCCTTCGTGGCAAACATCACAATAATAACATCTTTGTTGCACTTTCCAGAATATTTTTTTCCCATAATTAATTATTTGTCAATCTTTCCGGAAGACATTATATCACGAGTATGTCTACTTCCCCCATTTTCTCCTACCCTCCTTATTTTCACTAGAGATTAGTGATAAGACGTTATAGTTCGCGAGCTTAGAAACTAAGGGTTAGGTTAGTGATAAGGCGTATTGAAACACTAGTTTTTTAGCAGAACTATAGTTATTCACCCGTTCAAACTAATCAAGCTATAAATACTCCTAGAGATTCATAAATCATACAATTTTTGTTCTACACAACAACTCAGTATATTAGTCTCCTTCTACAAACGGGTAAAAATTGTCAGGTTACGTTAAGTAAAAAAAATGTAATATGTTCATATTATAAAGTGTTTAATAAAAAAAATCAGATAACTATGAGATAACTGAAATTTTGCTTTAAAAATTAATTTTAAAAATTTCTTATAATTATTTTCGAAATTAAATTACTAAATGGCATTTGAATGTTAAGACGAAATCAAACAATCAAAAAAAGTTTTTGTCGGATAAAAATACAAAATCTACAAATATATATATATATATATATATTTGTGTATAAACAGTAAAAAATAACATTATAGCCTTATTAAATTTCCATCTAACTAAGTTTAAATATTTTCTCGTGAAAGGTTCTTTTATATATACATATTTATATACAGGGAGATTCATTTTGGGTAAGACACTCATTTTCTCGAAATATATTAATATTTTGAACAATATTTTTTTCCAATATTTTGAAATTTTTTATCACCAATCCTTATAAGCCAAAAAGGGGGATTTTTGTTTTTTTTTTAAATAGCCACATATGTTTTTCACTTAAATTGTAAATTTTTAACTAAATTTGTAGACAAAAATTAAAAAATACGTTAGTCTTTGAATTTTTTACTAAGGTAGATCAAAAATGGGGCTGTAACATAGTATTCAATTATCTCTAAAAAATCTGAAGTCCGAGTTTTTTTTTATTAGAGAATACCCCCTCCCCCACCCCAAAAAAAAGGGAAAAATAACACTTTGACCGTAGTCAGTTTCCAGGTTGGCATGTATGGAGATATTTTCATTATATTGTTGTATCTATGACAATCATATGACAAATAAAATATGACATTTTTTTGACAGAAGATCAATCTTAATTGTATCCGCCCTAATACTAAAATTAATTTTTAAGCACATTATTGTCACTAGGCAACAACGCTTTTATCGATATTTGTATCTTTTTATCTGTGAACACTACACCTCCCTAACTTGCTTACTACTAACTCTACCCACTTACGTATAACACTTTCTTACGGTGCTTGGTTTGGACTATACTGGTTTAAACCTGTACTATTCACAGATTCGCATCGAAGCGTTTATTTAAAAGTGATTTTTTCACTTTCAGTTATAATAATATCTATAACTTCAGTAGAACTATGACCTCCATCTCTCCACTATACCCCAACCCTACTATACTGGCTTTTTTTTTTTTGCTCTTTAATCGGAGGCTTAAATTTGGGTTTACAGTCGATTGTGTATTAAGTCTTATTTTTTACACCGAATTTTCGTTGTACGAAATGTGCTAGTATATTATAACAAACGGCAAAGTGTATAAGCAACACACGCGACTGTAGGTAATATTTTTTTTTTGTGTCTTATTTACCTTAAATTCGTATCGAAGTGAATAACAAAATATGAGTAATAGCCCACACATAAATGACACACACATACACATACTTAATAATGGTCTATGTACCCAGTTTTTTCGTACTTACATGCATATAAAGAAGACCTAGTAGAGTTATATGTAAAATCACACAATTGTTTTTGTTGTTTTAAGCGTTTTATTTTACTTAGTTTTCTATCGCTGTGAATAACAAAATATGAGTAATAGCCCACCCAAAAACCCTTATCTGTTATTGGACTTATACGTGAATTCATTTCAGACCCTTAGTAATTAACAAATAATACTGGTCGTCAACTACTTTGGATAAATATAGTGTGTACCAAATTAAAAAAAATTGTTGTCGATACTTATTTTTATGAAAAATTATATAAACTAATTAATTAATGATAATTATAATAGAGAAAATTATTGTTTTTGTGATAATATATTTACTTTTTGTCCATATTGTAAATATATGAAAATTATAAAATATTACTACACTGCATGACAAAACGATAAAGGCGGAGAATTTATGTTTATTTTTCTTAGGGTATTAGACATTGGTACAAATAACCCCATATCTAATCATATTTTTTTATTTAATAATTATAATATTCCAATTTAATACAAAAAGTTATTATTCAATCAATTTTATTTATTTAGAATTTATGAAAAAACAATTTTTCCGTGACAAAAAAAGTGAAAGGCAATTATTATGATAATTCCTATAGTTATCCTATTTGAGTAACAAATTTTAGTACAGTTATTAGTACTTAGAAAGTTGAACCTCCATTATTATTTATGACTGCAAATATTCTGCTGGGTATAGTTTTGTAACATTTTTTTTTTACGATTTTTGCAGAACACTATCACAAGATTCTTGAATTGCTTTTCTCAATTCGTTTGTGTTGTTGAGTTGTTGACAATTTTAAAAACGCAGCTAATAAGAGGCACTTGTACTTTTTGATATTTTACACAGTTGACGCTTAACCCATTATTTTTATTCGTTATTAGATTATTGTCGGTAGTTATAACAATAAAAAATATTAATTATTGGTGCCTTCACCTAATACAAAGAAAAAAAATTGATATATTTAAAATAGTTTAAAATAATTTTAAGTAGTTAACTTACCATTAGGCATTTTATCATTTTTGAATAAACAAATCAAACTTCTTTATTCCGAAAAGTTTAAATGTGATTCACGAAACGAATGCCGAAATTTTCTTATAAATATTATGTTTTTTCAAACAACTTTAAAGACAATCATTTTTTAGTTTTAGAATACCATTTTCCAATGGAATTAAACGCAAATATATTTAAAATTAACATTAAACGTTATGTGTTAGTGTTAATATAAACAGCACATCGTTGTACGGTTATTGACTATAAAGATTGAAGTATTTCATTAGAACGGCAATTTTTAGGTTACATCATAATATCAGTAACAAAATGTACAAACTACTCACTACTGTTACTAAAACGATACGTGGTCACTTAGTCAGACTGGTCATGACATTGATAGCTAAAATATTTAACGCGTTTTACTAGTGGATAATAAAAGATAAGAATTTAAAGTAATATTATAGCAGGTATAATTTATACTACAGCTGAATTATCAAAACAAGCGTCGTATATTAAACTTGTTATCAGTTGACAGTTTCATATCATCAAAATATTCTTATTGGAACTTGAATGTACAGCAGCCATCCGAGCATTGACTTTAGCGTCTCTTAAATATTGCTGAAAGACCGAAAAAATAGTTTACCTACTACGCCGCACGTTTATTACTTCTAATGCTAATAAGTAATAACTTTAAAACTTATAGTTGGAACTAAACTTGCAATATGTAATTTTTTTTTAAATAATATTATCTATCTAGAAACAAAAATATTTATAGGGGTTACCATTTGAAAATTAAAAGTTGGTGTGGAGTTTTTGAGGAAGGGGGAAGATACAAAAAAAGTATTATATAAAAAGTTAGTATTTTATACACAAACAAATTATTAAACATATTTTTTTGTAAATATCTAAATAGTTTTTGGGTAGGTAAAGTAGTGAAAGGCGCTAAAAGAATCACCTGTATTGTCCTATTGAAAGACAAAATTTGACTTGGATATGTGTTGAAAAATTTATATTTAAAAAGTTAAAGGTAATTTTATTTGTTAGCAAATTTTATTCGGCCATCTAAAAATAACATTTCTCTTCTTCCATTATACCTATGGTGATAGATGTACTCTTTTTTGTAGGACTGAACTTTTTTTTGATGCACTGTCCTATTGTCATTAACATTAGTATTAAGTACATGAAACATTACTCTTTTTTTGAAAATATTAAGGGCTTATACGTTGTTTTCAATTTTTATAATTTCATAGTTCATTTATATTTTATAGTTCGACATAATGCATAATAACACAATATAAATCAATAATATTTTGCCTTTTTAGTATCAACTACGACTAAGTATAATAGAATTGTTGCATCAATCAACAATTAAAATATAATTGAGTACCTCATAGCTAATAAAATTTCAAATGTTTATAAAGTTAAACATGTAGGAAACAAGTTATTTTTTTAACATTTAAATTGTATGCTTTTTATTATAAAATTTCAAATGTTATTGAAGTTAAATACGTAGGAAACATATTAATAAAGTTTGTTATTTTATTATTTCATTACATTTAAAAATAATTTAAAATTTGTATACTTTTCAATAATTATAATTTAGAATATTTCTTATATTTTAAATGTATTTCATCATAAAGACACACACCTAATAAGTTGACATTATAATGAAATTATAATTTTAAATAATCAGGTTTTATAGTTGATAAAAGAAACCGAAATAATAGAGTAATCAGATAAAATAAAAGCAATCTATATAAATGGAGATGGCCTATGGGCAAAGTTTTAAAATGTACTATTTTTGGTTTTTTTTTTTTTTGGTCACCACATTTATACCTAATAGCGCTCCATACTATAACGGAACCTCTACCAATTTGACGTTTTGAAAGTATTGTTTCTTCTTTTTTTTAATCATCATATTAATAAGAATAACCGTCAGGACCATCTAATTAAATTTTTTTTCATCCGCAAGAATCGCCCTTTTTTACTTATTTGTCCAATTCATGGTATTTTTTGCAAAATTTAATCTTGCATTTTCATCGCGTTCACTCACTTTCTTAAAATTTGTTTTCAAATAAGTGTCGTTAAGCGTATGTTTCAACAGTCTCTGTACGTTACGAATATTAGTTTCCACTACAGATTGCTCCAAAGTACCACGAACACCAGTCACCACCTAAAACAGAAATTGACGGAGCTTTTAAAATTACTCTAATCTCACGATCTGGAGGTCGTTCAGTAGATTTGTTGGTACCAAGTTTAACAAAATTGTCAATAATTGTTGAACTTCTATTAAGTCGTCTTGAAATTTCCCAGTTGGAGGCCCAATTTCCTTAAAACCTATAATTTTACCACTTTCTTCATATGTTAGTGGTTTTCTTAGACCCATAGTAATTTTTTCACAAGCAAATTATTATAATATTATATTTTTAAAAAGTTAATGACTAAAAAATTATTTTGCAAAAAAAATATTCAGTTTTTAGTTAATAGCTAATAATGCATTTATTGTAGTTCAATAGTGTTATTAAGATTTTAATGTATAAGGTAAGATAAACCCCGTAGATAAATTGTATAATAATATCAATAGGTTACATAAGTTATGTATAAACATATTTTAACAAAACACCCTGTCCTTATCTTTTTTTTCATGCACTCATGCTAATGAAATTATTGGTCTCTGAACACCTACTAGTTACCACTTCCGGTCATGAATAAGTTTACTGTTTTATTTTTTTATATCTTTTAAAACTATTTTCTCGGTTTTATCATTGTTATTACTTTTTTGTTGTTATTTATTGAAATAAGGTAAAAACACAATTTGATGTATTTAAACAAGCATAGAAAACTGCTTGTTCAAACAGTTACCTTTTAGTCATATACCAATGTGCAAAAAACAAGAAATATATATTCTAAATGAAAACAACATTGACCTAGTTATTTATTTATTTATTTCTACTTGATATACATTATATACCTAATAAATATCGAAAAAAACTTAAAACGATAGTGTGTTAGTTTTTATTTTATATTATAATAATAAAATAATTTCTTAATAAATAACACCATAAGTTGGTCAAGTTTTTTCTGGTATTTATTTTATACATTGAATTTCCGTTGGTAATATAGTTTATTGCGTTATATTTACACCTGAAATTCGTATCTATGCGAAATACAATTTTGAATATTACAAATACTTAACAATACGGTCTATGTACCCAGATTTTTCATTCTATGAATGCGCCAGTATATAAAAGACCTTAAAGCACTGTGTGTAAATTACACACGATTATTTATCATTGTTTTTAGCGTTTTATTTTTCTCGGTTTCATATTGTAGTGAATAACAAAATATGAGTAATAGCCCACACAAAAACAGTTCTCTAAATCAACACACAAGCGCATAAACAATTTTACAAATTTAGAATTTAGCACACAGTAACCTCTGAAAAATACTTTGAAAACAACATACTTTTCAACTTAAAATATGTGGGATTAATTTTTGTACCCTGAACTGTTCTTATATACATCGTATTTAATAAGCCAATCCACTTCCAATGTGGTTGGTCACTGGTCTGCCAGGATATAGTTTTTCACAACTCTCGCTTTCTCACTGTATATAAAATAAAATATCCTACACTATTTGATTTAGTCACTCCACATTAGAATCCCATTTACCTTTAACACTTAATTTCCATGTATAATAATATAATAGTTATTAAGATTATTATTAGGATTATATATATTTAAAATAAAAACTATAAACCTGTCACCAGCGTTTGCATAGACATATTTTAATAAAGGCAGAAATAAGGAAGAGGAGAATTTAGAAGTAGAAATAAATAAACTAGATGAAAATATACAACTTTACTTATTCGGTAATTATTTATTTTATTGGTAGACACATTGGTCATAACACAGTACTAGATATAAAATGTCTACGATACTTGTCTTTTTTTGAAAATTTCTACAATTGATGAAGATAGAAAAATGCTCATGCAATACAAACAACATAAGCAGAATGTTAACAATTTCCAGAATAATAAACAATAGCCAATAAAATACCTACTGTTAGAATGCAAAATCACACTTTCTAGAAACGCCACCATCCAATAAACATCGGAAAGACTATACTGTAGGAAATGTTAGCAAGGTTCTATTAAAGGTTTTCACGGTATAAATCACTTTACCGGACACCTTTTTTTTTTGATTTGATAGTATTTTTCAAGCTGATTACGAATATTAAATTTAAAAATTCCAACACCTTATTTTCCGACAAAGCGCTTTTTAGTTAATTTTTATCAAATAAAGAATTACTGTTTAAAGTGTCTAATAAATCATTCATATATTTTACAAATATCGCAGTGTCTTTTGCGGTGTTGGATTGCAGCTCTCCTGTAGCCATTCACAAGTGTGAATTGTAGAGGCTAAAGAATTGCTAAAAATTTGAAATGCTAATTTGCAATTAATTTTTTGGAATAGACGTGGTTTTATATGAGAATCCGTTAATTTTGTTAATGCTTTACTTGTGTTACTATTTTTATCAATTTCATAAGTTTTAACAATGTCTTTGAAAGAAACTAGTTTGTCTTTAAATAAAAAATCCCATGATAAAAAGTTAATTCTGTAATTTTTAATTAAATGAGGTGCATCATAAATTCTATATATTCTTATTTTACTATCAATTTAAAAAAATGGGTTTTCTTTGGACATACCTAGATCCTTATATGCTGCTTGGTTATTAGCACCATGATCGCACACAACTGCTATAATATAGAGACCCACTTCCAAAAGTTTTCAACTGTAATATTTATTAATTTATTTAATATAGTATGGCTCATAGGAGAAGCACTAAAAAAATAAGCAACAGGTAGCTTCCAGTTAGAGTAAAGACCTCTTGCCATAAACACCATTGCCTGAGAAGCTGGTTTTTTTGTATTAAATTTATGCGATACCGTTTTTCAATTTAAACGTAACTTAGATAAAGACGATCGTTTATTTTTTAAAAGCCCTTGTTGTCGTTTTATAATCGATTTTAATTTCTTCTTACATGGTGTGTCATGCTTATCGAGTATCATGGAGTCGTCTAA